TTGATTGCAAATGCAACTCAGTCTTTTTGCTGCTGAAAGATGTTCCTTTCTAGATCTATTTGTCTGCATTTTTAGTTTTGCACCTTCCCATCAAGCAACAGAGCATGAACAATTCCTGCACCAACGAGGGCTTCCTGTCTTCCCATCTGATATGCTGCCCTGTAACTTTATCTTAGTAAAAGAGTCTGAAATTGGGATTTTGCTGCCCTCACGCTCATTGTACAGCATCGAGACCTGGGAAAACCCCTACATGTTTGAAGGAGACCACTAAAAGGGCAAGGTGCTACTTAGTTTGTTTAGGTTGAAGGGATCTGACCCCGAATGGTGAAAGGAAGTTTGGTTTCAAAGTTTCTTGAAAGTGCTAAAAGACTGGAATGGTTTGTCCCCTAGATGACTTGATATTTTTATTTTCAGATAGCACAGGAGTGGAAGACCGGAGAAAAGCTCCGTTCAGGAAAACTGTGCTTTCAAACCACAGAGCGCAATAAAGTACACAGAAACTACACTGCAATTACCTTGCAGGAGTCAGTTATCTGCTAATCTGTTGAGTTAAAAATATCTACACATGGAAATAATTTGGAGTGATGGGGCACAATTTGGTTGATCTAGATTTAAATCAAGGAGCCCATAGTCAAGCCAAGCTCCAGTTGCTTTTGGTGAGAGATCTTTCTGACAAAAGGCTGAACAAGTTGGGAATATCTGTAAACAAAACCTAAGGTATTTGTTCATTGATGCACAAGATTTCAAAAAAAACCCAGGACAACATGAAGAGTCAAATCTATTTCATGTGCAAAAGCTACTTGGTGTACTCTTGCGTAGATTTATAGGGATAAGTCAAATAATGCCACACACTTTGATGTTACTAAACTTAGATTAACCTATGCCAAAAAGTAAAGAAAAGTATACTAAACACTACACTTTAGGGGGGTTTAATTTCTAGTTCTGCTTGTATCTGGAATAACTAGCGGTTATAGATTAGGGTTTTTGATTTTTCAGATGTTGATCCATTGTTCAGCTTTTTGTTGAAGACTGACCTATCTTCATTCTCTGGGTTTTCCTTGGAAACTGAACCTGAACAATTTTTCTAGGGCTCCAACTCCGCAGCTGCCTCTCGTGCAAAGTACCCTCTGAGTATGGGCAATGTGAATTGGTATGAAAGCAGGGATTTTCTATAGGAAGGACTGAGCGGTGATTGTTTATTGGCTCTAAACTGGATAAATAAAATCAATGAAGTACCGAGTTGCTCCTTCCCCCTCCAAATATTTAAGACTGAATGAGCTGCCTACCGGAAGTGGCATGCGCTCTGGGAAAGTTTAGCAGAGACTGATAGAGGCACTGAGCTTTCTCAAATCCACGAAGAGTCAGAGGGGATGGAAAGCAACCCTGAGGACTGGGTCCATAATCAGCCCCCTGCTCTGCAGAGAGGCGTTCGGGTTCAATCTCAGCAGTTTTTACTTTTGGTTTTTAATAGGAGAATTTGGTCCTTGGAAGTTTGGTCCTAGTCACTGGAAATTCACTCAGCCACTGTAGATACACCATGACTTTGTAGCTCTCCAAGTGTAGGTCTTCAATCTTGGGCTTTTTTTCTAGATCTGAATTTTCCAACTAGGTGATGGCTTGGAAGATCGCAATAAATGCTCACATTACTCAGTGACTCTTTGAGGGACTAGATGGCTGCAATGCCAGAGCAATGACAAAGTTTTATTCTGTACTAGGAGGGGAAACCCAAGCCTTGCTCTGCGTACGTGCCAACAATCACTCAGAACCACACCACTCATTTCTGAGCATCTGCTTCTTTGAGCTTGGGAGTCAACCTGAACTAGGAGCTACATCACATTTTGTCTGTGTCACTGACAATAAATATAATTTATCCATGCTATCTCAATATGCTAACTAGCTTTTGCTGCACCTCCAGCTCTGATTTTCATAGAATGGTTTGGGTTGGAAGGGACCTTAAAGATCATCAAGTTCCAACCCCCCTGCTATGGGCAGGGACACCTCCCACTAGACCAGGTTGCCCAAGGCCATGTCCAGCCTGGCCTTGAACACCTCCAGGGATGGGGCAGCCACAGCTTCTCTGGGCAACCTGTTCCAGTGTCTCACCACCCTCACAGTAAAGAATTTCTTCCTAATATCTAATCTAAATCTACCTTCTTTCACTTTAAAACCGTTACCCTTTGTCCTATCACTACGCTCCCTGATAAAGAGTCCCTCTTTATCCCATCTTTCCTGTAGGCCCTCTTTAAGTACTGGAAGGCATTCTCTTCTCCAGGCTGAACAACCCCAACTCTCAGCCTGTCTTCACAGGAGAGGTGCTCCAGGCCCCTGGTCATCTCTGTGGCCCTCCTCTGGACCTGCTTGAGCCGGTTCATGTCCTTTTTATGTTGGGGGCTGCAGAGCTGGATGCAGTAGCTCGGGTGGGGGCTCACAAGAGCGGAGTAGAGGGACACAATCCTTGACCTGCTGGCCATACCTTGATACGATTCGCTTTCTGGGCTGCAAGTGCACATTGCTGAGTCATGGTGAGCGTCTCATCAAACAACACCCCCAAGTCCTTCTCCTCAGGGCTGCTCTCAATCCATTCTCCACCCAGCCTGTATTTGTGCTTGGGATTGCCCCAACCCAGGTGCAGGACCTTGCACTTTGCCTTGTTGAGCTTCGTGACGTTTGCATGGACCTGCCTGTCAAGGCCCTTCCAGATGGCATCCCTTCCTTCCAGCATGTTGATGGCTCCGCATAGCCTGGTGTCATCGGCAAACTTGCTGAGAGTGAATATTAGGTGGATATATTCCAGATTTTAGACTTCAACAAAATCTTGGACTATTTAAGATGGAAATTTTATTATTGGCATTCCAATAATTTATCAGGTAGTCAGGTCATATAACCTATCTGTTTCCTGAGAACTGAGTTCCTGTTGTGAATAATCCCAAGTTTGAATCGAGAATTTAATTTCCATACAAAGCTGTAGTTGCTGGGCATATCCTTGGTAGAAAGCTCTATCTTAGAATATTTGAGGACACATATTTTGTTTGACTGTGTTCACATGCTGTGTCTACTAATTGGAATTAAAAGTATTTTTTCCAGTGTTACCCTTGCTCTAGTTCTGCCACTTCTAAGAAATAGTCCATTGGGATATTCACGCAAGAACAAAAACCCATTAAGCTTGAATCTTCGGTCAGGAAAGTAAAATTTAAAGAAATTGTGGTTTGTTATTTTTTTAGGTGGGTTCTTCAAGCAGACAAATGAAACACAGTAACATTCCAGATTTTCATATCCATTTTCTAGTCAGGCCAATGCTTGTTTCTTACAACTCTGATTAGTCTTCTGGGACTCCTCCTCTGTGATTTACTTCTGAATTCTTAAATGCTGTGTTCTATTTACTCCCAGTAGTTATCAGATGACATCTTGCCCTTCAGCAGTAGTTTATATGCATGGCTTTTTTTTTTTTTAAATTATGCATAGTTAGAATAAACTAATTTGTTGCTTTTCAGTGTCCAGCCTGATGAGGCAGTGACACAGCACACATTCCCTTCATTAAGAGTGGAAGATGCACAGCACGAACAGAGAGACATTCAGCTTACTGGCTCAAACTCTAAATAAATAAGCTACACTTTCAGGTTTTTATTTGGGCAGTTCATGTAAAATATATGAGTACTGCACTCTTGCAAACACCTGAATGCCAAAGATAACAGCTTCACTAGAGAAGCACAGCTTTCTCTCCATTGATAGACTGAAAAATAACCAGGGAGTTTTTTTTTCCCTCCATGGATCTCGCTGAAAATTTTTGGCTGAAATTTCTGTTGTTGACTGCCTGCCTTCCTGTGAATAGCCTTGCGGTGTGGGCCTGGGGTTGGGTTTGGAGGATCTAGGTTCACTTCTTTCCCTGGTTTGAGCTTTCCCTCACCTGTTGAAGCTGTTCCACCTTGCGCAGAATATTTAGCTGTTCAGCCAGGGAACAGGAACATATTACCCAATGTCTTGATGCACTTTTGATCAGACATCGAGCTGGGATGTGGAATGAACGAGCAGGTTTGAACATTAGAGCAGGTATGACAATGATGAATTGCGTGTCAATTGTGTTGGCCACCTAGCATGTCCTGCAGCATGGCTACACCCCCCATCAGATGGATAGATGAAGAAACTGAGTTTCTCCTCCCGAAAACCATCTCCTGACTCCAGGTTGAATGCCCCCCTGGTGGGCAACAGCCCTAACACGTCCTCTTCGCTGACTGTGAGCTCTGCTTCTGTTTAAAATGCCTGAAATGGAAATGAAATCTTGTTCTCGGTAAGGAGGTTTCATTCAACCTAAATTTTTATGTCTTGTATTGTTTCTATCAACAATAGTTTCAAGTGCTTCACATTGGCTGGTGTTATTTGGGACTAAGTAGTCGGGATGCACAGATGCTGCGTACAGGATGGTTTTATAATCATAAAAGTACTGGGGTTCAGCTTCAGGGAACATGGAGAGAAATATTACAGCCCTTTTAAATCTTTTTAAACTATCCTGGAATCTACATTTAACAGTAAAATAATTTAACAGTAAAATAAATATAAATAGTCAGTATATCTCCAGATGACTCTTGCATAATTTAATATAATTTAAGTCATTATCATCTTTTGCTAACATGTTTTCTACTTAAAAAACTTCATTATTTTTTCAAATTCAGACTATTTTCAAATGTTGATATGCTGATAATACTTGCCCACATTTGGCATGGGACATGGAACCCTCTCTTGGTATAACAATACGAAGAACATTCTTCAGGTCATTTGCAAAGACAGTTTTGGTTATATGTAAACTGTAATATTTTGCGGAAAGAGCTTTAAAGCTTTGATAATCATTTTGACAAGCCTTTTCCTACTGGACTCTTGCTACAAGCATATATATGTGGAAGAACTTAAAATGGATTAGTAACTTTATCTAGATAAGAAAAATACTGGCTACATGTTCAAATAAACAAAGTATACAATGCAAAAAAAATTTCACAATTTTTACTTACTTTCTTTGTTTTGTCCATTGCCTTCAGTATGGTTATGTTTAAGTCTTCCAAGACAGATAGAACATTTTCATACTCTCCTAAGTGCTGGGAAAAATATTCTAAAAGAAAAGAAACCCCAAATCAATATTTCATTAAATATCAATTTTACCAATTTTGAATTCCCTTATGGTATTATTAACTATCTAAATATATAAAATGAACAGTAGTTACAACGAAAGGGGTGATTTCATTTTAAAATTTTGTATTATTTCCTTCAAAATCATCCTGGAGTACTTAAAATATCAAAATCGCTGTTTCAAATAATTTTCTTTCAATAAATGAGTTGCCAAATTGACAAAAAAAATGACCATTTAAAATATTAGTCTGAGCTGAAACAGACATATTTTCAGAATATCTACATTTTCTTTCTAAACTGGATGTTCAGTCTAATAGCCTCTTTACAGTTACTAGTAGGAAATGAAATTTTCCTGTGTATGTACTAAATCTGATTATATTGACACAAAAATGAATAATTCTGGTAAAGCCCTTAGAGGAGATAAGATCAAGTGGGGGCTGTTGTGAGTTGGGGTCAGCTGAGACTGGTTGTTTCTCTCTAAGAAATGACGAGAGCATGAGTTGGCCAGATAAGCTTCTAGTTCCAGGTACTGTGATTATATTTTCATCAAATGCAATGCATGCAAAATACTTTTAACAAAAATAATGGAAATAGCATAAGTTCTGGGACGTCTTTGTGTAGCTGCTCAAAGCAAAGGACATTTTAACAGAAATAGCTGGTGTAAAATCAGGGAGCATAATTCAATCAGAGGGATTACAGAAAGAGGAGGAGGTAAACCTGGGAAATCATGACCCGAGTTCCCATTTGGCTGATGCGGCAAAATACAACAGAGGGAGGAGGCACAGGAAAGAAAGCGTGGAAAAAGAAAGAAAGAAAATGTTAAAGCTAGAGACTGCATTAGGCAAGGCATTTAGACATCAGATCACCTGGAAGAACATGGAAAACAACATTCAAACGGCAGACAGGAAGAACAAGATTAGACAGGAGCTTTTTCAAATAATAAATATCAACACTTTGAGGCTTTTAAGAGGTCAGCATGAGCTTCTCAGGGGAGTCATAAAAGCATAAGGTTTCAGCAACACTGCGACATAACTTGTATTGCTGAAAGGTTGAATGAAATGATTTAGAATGAAAAAATACTGTGAATTAGTATCCTGGAAGTGAAGCTTCATTTCTGAGGGGAACTGAGATAAATCAGAGGGAGCTGTATAATCACTAGCATAAACATGTGTTGAGTAAACTCAGTACCAGCTTCACAGGGGAGAAACATGCTAGTGAGAACCTATGAAAAATTTAAAAGGCAGCTGAAGCAGCCCATATTTAATTGAAGCAGACAGTAAACAGCCAGTGCCAGGCTAAGACGCCCCCTCAGCCCTCTGGCCAGCCTGAGGTAGCTAGTCAGGTCAGGTGCGAAACAAACCTATAAGCCTCCAGCACAACATCAACAGCAGTAAATCCCTTGTGGAACAAAATCCCCTATCCTCCTTGGCCAGGTTTATATAATTTTGGCCAGATTCTCAACCAGCAGAAGTCATCACAGCCCAATTCACTTCAGCTGAGTCCCTTGTCCCATATTTAGAAGCCAGAGGCTGAGGTGCCTCTCAGTGGGTTCTTGGCTATGTGTAGAGTCTTTCAGTGGGTAAGCAATCAGCTAGCATTCAACTTGACAGTATTTTCAGCTTTTACAGGTCCTCAGCACAGTTGGCCATTGGAAAATTTATCAGGCTGCCATCTTTGTCTCAGAAATAGGCTGGTTTTCACAAGCATGCCTGGGGTTTTTTGACACTTTGTGGGAGGACTTGCAGAAATTTTCTGTGAGTTTTTTTTCTATTGCAAGCAGCACTGCTAAATCAGGTGCTATAAGATCTGCTGGAGATCAAACAGGGTTTTGGGGCAATGACTCACAGCTCAGAACAGGGCACAGAAATGGGTAACTGGGCCAAACTTGAGGCCTTGCAGGAAGGGGTTTTTTTTGTGTTGAAGGATGACAGAACTTGTCAAACTTCTGTTCTTACTGGATCAAGTTAGAGCAACATAATGAATTTTCCTCCAGTGGGGTACAAAAATGATAATCTTTTCCAAAATTGCCAAAAGACTCATAGCTTTGACAGTGTTTAGCTAGAAAAAATATCTCACGTGAAAGATAAATAAGATAAAAGGTCTCTCTCTTTATATCAGGACAGAACTTGAAGCTCAGAGAATGTGAAGTATTGATTAGGAAAAATATCTTCAAACCAATTTCTGCGTGTAATGGATGACAAGAGTCTGAAGAGATTATAAGCCATCTGCATTCTCCCAGGAGTTCTTTCAATGGAAATTATTTTCTGTCTGAGCCTCAAAGATTAAACAGAAAAAAAATTAAATCTTATCACATGGTACGTTCACTTGCACAGAGCTGCTGCAGGCATAGATTATGTACTTGCCTAAAAAGGAACTTACCGCATAGCTCTTCTGTGTCAAGATTGCTGGAAAGATAAGAGGATAGACGGTTAGTGAGCTTAGTAGTTTTCTGTGGGATTGGTGAGTAGTAGGACTCAAACATCAGCCTGACTGGGATATGAAGCCTCCCTGCCTGGGCTGCAGCAGGAGATGTGACTGCCTGGCCCTTGCTGGCCTTGCTCTGTTGCCTTAGGGAGGCTGATCCAAAGCCGAAGGCTGTAGCTTGCTGCAGGCGCATCCTCCCTTCTGAATCATGTTCCCACTGGCACCTTCCTACTCACCGACAACCCCCTTTGAAATTCCTCTTTGTGCATTATGGTGCAGAGTCACAGCTCCTCAGGCTTTACGCCCGTGGTCCTAGTGCCGGCAGATTCGTGGAATGGTTTGGGTTTGAGGGGACTTTAAAGATCATCGAGTTCCAACCTGCCTGTCATAGATAGAGACACCTCCCACTAGACCAGGTTGCTCAAAGCCCCATCCAGCCTGGCCTTGAACACTTCCAGGGATGGGGCATACACAACTTCTCTGGGCAACCTGTTCCAGTGCCTCACCACCCTCAAAGTGAAAAATTTCTTCCTAATATCTAATCTAAATCTACCGTCTTTCAGTTTAAAACCATTCCCCCTCATCCTATCACTACATGCCCATGTAAAAAGTCCTTCCCCATCTTTCCTGTAGGCCCCCTTTAGGTACTGGAAGGCCACAATAAGGTGTCCCTGGAGCCTTCTCTCCTCCAGGCTGAACAAGTCCAACTGTCTCAGCCTGTCCTCATAGGAGAGGTGCTCTGGCCCTCTGATCATCTTTGTGACCCTCCTCTGGACCTGCTCCAACAGGTTCATGTCCTTCTTAACATCAGAAATCCATCTAAACATCAGAAATTGTTTTTTCCCACCTTTCTGCCTGTGTTCCTTTCCTGTGACTGCCATGCTGGATAGCACGGCTCTGAGACCTCAGCTCTCCATGCTGAAAGAGGGGAAAAGCCATCAGATTTCTCCTGTTTGCAATCTTCACTGGCCAGTAGCGCTCCACAGGAGAGACTATCCTCCAGCAGGAGGATAGAACCAGACACAGCCCATCAGCATGCATAATTTCGAAGTCTTTCTGGCCATACCAACAGTTTCATCAGTAATAACTTCAGCAAAATTAGTGATGTGAAAAGAATACTTGTATTGCCATATTCAATTCCCAACATTATATAAATACATAAATGTGTGCAAGTATTCCATACAATTCAAAACCCTTCATTTCAAACAGATTTCATCCTGATAACTCTCGAGCAATATTTTCTCGCTAAGGATTTAATAGGCAAAAGATAAACCATTTGACCTACAGCTCAATTCTGAAAGTTAGCATATTGACTTTCTTCCAAGGAAGAAAAGAAACTGATTATTAAAGAAACTTAAAAGCATGAATGTCTTTTTGAATATTGCTGGAGGCTGAATATTGAATGGCTGATTGCACTTAGGATTTTTTCACTTATCTTTTTAATGGGATTTTTTTATTGACCTTTTAATAAAATGATGACACAGTGTTATCTTGAAGTCAATTTCACCAATGACAACTTCCATACATCTGGCTTTTATTTCATAAGCGAGAGAAACAGACAGAAATCGCAGGATCCTCAGTTGCCACAGACTTGCATACTCAGGACTATAGAAACTTCTGAACACTTTTAATTGATGATGTATATGAGATTTTTTCCCCCACAGTTTTTATTAATCAAAGGTGACCAGATCTTTATTTGAATGGGCCAAGTTGGATGGCTGCAAATGGGTTTTGCATCTGATTTTTCCAGTGACCTTGGTGGCAGGTATAATGAAATTCATAGTCTGTAAGAATCGCTGCTGAAGCTGAGAAATTTAACTCTTACGTCAACAAACTATGTGATGGGAAAAACTGCCTGCAACTCCTTGAGGCCGTTCACCACAATCACTATGGCACCAATGATCAACCGATGTCTGACCAATCACTTCTGCCATTCAGTAGTCATTTTTGGAACAGTCCAGGTGTTCCCTCCTTGAATGCAAACTGAAACCCTGAAAACTGGAAAACTGCCTGAGTCAAAAAGCAGTGACAGAGTATGATGATGTTAAATGACAGGAGTTTGCTGTTGTGATACCTGCTCTTTGTTCATTGTCCCTGCATTTTCTGCCCTTTCACATCATCTGCCCTAATGCCTTCCCTTTGTAAAACACATTTCTACATTTTGTAATGTACAGCTTGATAACTGTGTTTAAAACAGCCTTTCACATTGTTAGTCAGCCAAATTCACACTCTTCTTTCAAATCTCATATTAATATCTATTCTGGTCCTTGTTCTTCAGTATCCTCAGCAGTGTGGTAGTGATATAGTAAGGGAGCAGCTCGGAGGCTTTCAGCATTGCTGTCATCAGAACATCGCTGTTAGTCCTATTGACAGAAGTGACGCAGCTGCAAATGGACTATAAGTAAAAATGGAAAAGTATTTAGGTGCTGAATTAATTTTCAGTTAGAACTGGGCACCTGAATAATGAGAAAATGATTGTCCAAAGTGATTTGTACAGCAGCTTTCAGGAAGTCTCTGATAGAAGTGACATAAAGAGCATGGATTTCAGTCTAGCATACTCATAGTATTTCTTTCTCTATTATAAATACCATCTGAGGCTCCATTGTTCTTGGCATCCTGTTTGAAGGAGATGCTGTTCTAGGCAGGGAAACTATAATTTTGTGTCACTGATTATTTCATTCTGAGAAATAATAACATGCTGCTTCAAACACAGTTGTGAACAAACCTAGAAATTCTTTTTCTGTATACAAACAATTTTGAGCTCCCTGCTGGATGCTACAGAAGCAATTAAAGAAGTTTGGAATATATTTAATAGTACAGGAGTGAGGTGCACACCAGAGGGCTGTTTCTGCAACTTAGTACTGAGGTTTATGGTGGGCACCTGTTCAGCATTTCAGTGGGTACGTATGCCAAGGATGCTTCTGCTTAGACCTATAATCTGGCAACGCTGAACATGTTATTTGCAATATTTGCTGGATGACTCACATCCAGACACCAGCACTCCACTCCTGATAAGCACCTGAAGCACAGAGTGCAGCCAAATGCATTCACATCTTGTCAGCACGACCATTTTTTAAACTTCTGCTCTCAATTTGCTTTCTGACCACAAAATGCGGTCCTCTTACATGTCTGACTTCATGTCTAAAATGTTCCCTACCTAATAACATGAGCTATTTTTCAGACAATCATAGAATGGTTTGGGTTGGAGGGGCCCTTGAAGATCACCCAGTCCCCCCCCCCTGCCATGGGCAGGGACACCTCCCACTGGACCAGGTTGCTCAAAGCCCCATCCAGCCTGGCCTTAAATGCCTCCAGAGGTGGGGCATCCACAACTTCCCTGGGCACCCTGTTCCAGTGCCTGAACACACTCAAAGTGAAAAATTTCTTCCTGATATATAATCTAAGTCTCCCCTCTTTCAGTTTGAAGCCATTCCCCCTCATCCTATCACTACATGCCCTTGTAAAAAGTCCTTCTCCAGCTTTCTTTTAGGCCCCCTTCAGATACTGGAAGGCTGCTATAAGGTCTCCCCAGAGCGTTCTCTTCTCCAGGCTGAACAACCCCAACTCTCTCAGCCTCTCCTCATAGGAGAGGTGCTCCATCCCTCTGAGGTGCTCCTGCCCTCTGAAGTCCTCTGTTAAAGGACTTTTACAAATATTGCACTGAGCAGTCCTGATCACTACAAAGTTGGTCATACTTGTTGCTCAGTGACGAAAACATGCAAATTCACTTGAATGGACTGTGACAAAAGTGCGTATTTGTTGTACTTCTGGAAGTGGCCCAAATTATAGGAGTGCAAAGCAGCTGTCAGCTGTGGACTGGGGCCAGCCAGGGAGGAGGGAAGGTTAAAGCTCTTCCACCCATCCACAGCCCCATCCACAGACCTGACACATACCATTCTCTGGGAGGAAAGGCACCTCTAGGCAGAGGTACCAGCAGAAGGTCCACATATATTTCCTGGACCACAAGAAGAGGCAATGACATATCTTCAGTACAGGAATATATATATATAAAGTACAGACTCTGGCATCTAAAGCATATGAAAGACTTCATGAACTAACTTAATTTAGGAAATTCATTGCCATGACTGTCATAGCTGGAGAAAGATAACGCTTTCTTCTTCAGCTCTCTCCTCATTTTCAGATATGAGAAGGATTTATTTCAGAGGCTTGAACCAACTCTTTTTTGGGTCCCATTTGCACATCTCCTTTCTAAATTTGGTTGTAGGGAGGAAAGTTTGAGGCTGGTATCTCCTATTGTTAAATAGAAGCATATAACTTGTCACTGAAAGGAATTAAGCATTACTTGGACTGTGCAAGGGTACCTGAATAGTCATCCATGGACAATATCAGCCAAAAAAAGCTGTAAGCTCTTCGCAACAAGAAAGCCTGCATACCATCCCACTTCAAGTCAGCAAAACGAGATAAGTGCTCCAGCACTACAGAAGGTGTTGTTCAAAGGAGTCTTATGTGTGCACTTCCATTTTAAGGGTATCCTGCTTCACAGCTCCTTTGCAACAGCAAAGACCTTTTCATTCAGGTTTGTTCAAGGTTTCTTATCAGCGGAGGTAAAACTGCCTTTTTCCATCAGTAGGATGCAGAGTTGGAACAAGCCCAGCCATTAGCCTCTTCCCTCAGAAAAGGGAGAAAAGGAAGAAGGGGCAGAAGTGGTGCAGAGCTTCTGGGGCTGGTCCCTGGGAAGCCAAACTTCTCACTGCCCCGAGGACACTGCTGCTCTTTAACCCCAGGGCTAGCTGGACTGTGCACCCTCTGGCCTTTCACAGGCAGCAGCCAGCTTGGCTTTCGGGGCTGTGATACAGGCAGTGGGGCCACGGCTGTTTTAACATCCTGCATTTTGCTGCGCTAAATAATTGCCTAGTTTGCTTATGCTTAGCTCCAGGCCAAGCGATCACTTCAGAATCGTGACTTGCTGCTCTGCGTGTGGCAGGACTACAGGAGAGAATGAAGGTTTTTTTACTGACTA